CCCCATCCCGTCAAAATATGACGCAAGGGGGGTACCTGATGCGTCAAAATTGGACGCAAAGGGACCTTTGAAAAACGTCAATATGTGACGACTCGGGAGTGAGAATGGGTTGTATGTTTATAAGGCCTTGAAACCATTTTCCGTTCATCCACTTTTTAATTGTTTTTTTTTCCTGAATTGAATTAGAACAGACACTTTAAAATGGTCTCATTATTTATACATTTTACATGGCGTATTTTTAATAAAGGATACAACTTTGTAAAAAAAAGATTTCACTTTTATATTGAAAGACCTTTTTTTGGGCAAAATAATCAATTTATTTTGACCATAATTGATTTGTGACAGCAATAAATATTCATCCAAGAGGATGAATACATGTTATAGTGAAGATATTATACAACAAGTAATAGTTAACTGTTTGAAACTTCTCCACCGAACTTTATTTAAAAGACAACAAAAAATGAACTATCAATTTAATCCTGATAAATTAGAAAAAACTAATAAAAAAGCAATCTAATATCATGAACACTTGAGAATAATATACACAACACAACCTTTTTAATAATGAGTTTGAAACTATCATAATAATTTGTAATCATTTCAGTAAGTCTATCTGAAAGTGTGTTGTAGTCAGAAACTTTATGCTATTTACGCATGCACAGGCTGTTTCCTGCATCATTTTCAATAGGGGGGGATATTATTATTATTTATTTTGAGCTTTAATCGTGTTATAATGTAATTCCCTCATCAAACACATACCTAGAGTGTTGCTTTTACTCATTCATGCTCATTTGAGAAATCTTTGACTCTCCCGTGGTAGCCATGTGGAGATGCATAAACACTTGCTGGTACAAAGCTCCACCTATTTACCCAAAGCTCCTCCCTGGAGCTCAGTCCTCAGCTGAGCTCCTGCTCCACAGAGTACCTCTCCCCCTGCACCTTCCCCCACACAGCTCCACCAGACTAGAAAAATGTTTCTTAAAAATAGTGGTTGTTCATGATTTCATAATTTCATTGCAAAACATAGATTTATAACGATCTATAGTTTAACTAAGACGAAATGTGCTCAAAGTAATGGAGCCAAAGGGACCGAGACTGATGCTGTGGCGTGTGTGTACTGGAATTATCAATGCTATCAGATGAGCAAGAGGGCCTCAGAGCATTATAGCTACACCAGCACAAGCCACAAGGATGACAGCACAGTGTCTAAACGTCTCCCAAATAAACTGATGTTTTCACACTGTTATTCCCCAGAAGACAGTAAGAGTTTAGTATCAGCAAATAGTGTCTAAAAACACTTCAATTTGCTTTCAGATGTTTTTCTTGTGTTTGGTCGTTCTGTGAGCAATTTGGGTTTTGGTTCACTTCCACTGTTTATCAGCCCATAACATTTTAGCTCTTAAATTGGACCTTTCTGGTGAAACTTCTGAAGCCAATTATGAGAAGAACAAATTAACTTTTTTCATCCTTATCTGCAGTTTATTGTGGTCCTAACAAAAACAATCAGAACTGTACAGAATGTGAAATACAGTATATACTGTATATTGATGTTAAACATGTTGTATTCTATTGTTGTTATTGGCTTTAGGTATTTTTTTCTCCTAGGGGCGTATTCTGTATATTCCAGGCACATAATTAAATTACAGACCACAACAATGCCCCTTTTTCACCAGTGCCACTCAGTGTAGTGTCCGTACGGTTTGGTATGGTTCCAAGCCATTTCCATTAGGCCAGATCCATGGAACCGACACTTTTTTAGTACCTACTTCATTGTGGTTCCAACCGGCCCCAGCTGACACCAAAATGCGATGTCAGAACACTGTTCGTCACTGATTGGCTAAATTTTTGCAAATGTTTAAAATTTCAAAAGTTATTCATCAAATGTGTTTCCATCTCTCATTTTGCCCAATAATTTTTATTCTAAATACGTAAAAACCACCAACACCAACCTCCCAAAACACACCCATTGGAACCGGACTGGAACATCAGTGGAAAACCAACCGCTCCGACCCGTACCTACACCAATCGTTCCGACACTACACTAAGTGGCACTAGTGGAAAAGGGGCATAAGGTAACTATGCTACTTTCAGTTTTAAGCTGTATAAGTTAAAATAAAACTGACTTTGCATCATAGCTTGTCTAAACACCTTGAAATTGTTTTCAACACTCTCACTACAGTAGGTTTTCAAACAGTGCTTCGGGGAGGTGTGCTTTGTGGGGTGGGAGCTTGGCTGCAGACTGAGCTCCAGGGAGGTGCTATGTACAAATGGGCGTTCTTTGTACCAGCAAGCATTTAGGCAGCTCCACATGGCTACTCAAGGATTTCTCAAACATGCATGAATGAGTTAAAAATAACACTCTGGGTATGTTTTTGATGAGGGAATGGTATCATAACATGATATAAGTAGGGTCAGATGATCACAACTAAAAACAGTAAGGTCAGTTGTGTTCATTACCGTTGAGCAACAAAGTAATGTGAAGCCCATATTTAGGATGAATTATGTTCAACAATATAAAATTGTGTGGACAAACATCATTGTCAATTTTCACTGAATATTACTGCAGTTCTCTCAACCAGACTCAAGTTACAAACAATACATAAACAAAGCCAAAAGCAGCATTTCCAAAAACAGCAAAAATTTGTCTTCTTTTTGTTCCTGCATTTTACTTTAGAAATGGTGTTCCAGTGTTAGATATTGTAAATTTTATTTTTTAAACAGGACTGCATCCTAAACCAAACAGTTATTTATTCATTTATTACTGTTGGATTCAGAGATATCATACTTAACTTTATATTGTATTTGCTGGTTAGTTTCCTAAACAAGACATTGGTAGATTCATGGGTTACAGATTATTGGAGTATGTTTTTTTAAATCTTAATGCACATTATTTTATATTATTAAAATGCCTTAAAATATCTTGTAAGGTTGCAGTAAGTCAAAACATTAAAGTGCAGTTTGGTCTTGCATGCAACTTTCCCTGAAATTCCAGACTGTGTTCACTTTATTCATAATATGTTAGTTAAATAAGATGCAGTTTGATCCAGACTATTGTTTGAAATTTCTTCAGGGAGAAAAAAAAATATCAAGATTTAGTCAGAATCAGCTGCAACTTTGTGTTGTCAAATTGAATAATCTTAACAGTCAGAATTTTTAAGGTAAGAAGCTTAAATTTTATAGCAAGTCTTTTTACCATGAAACTAAGCCCACAGTAAAATTTGAAAAACTGCACAAAAGTACAGTCACATCGCCCTGTTTTTCTTCTTAGAAGCTATAAATTGCAATGGGAGCCTTGAACTAAATGTGTCTGTAAACACTGCTGTTTATACACCTGTTCTAATACATTCTCAGCTGCACATTCACCAAATTTTTAAGTTATAGACAACAATAACAGGACATACTTTCTAAGTAGAACCAGGTGTACTCATAAATGAGTGCTTCACACATTTTAAAAAAGTCACCAGAGACTATTTAGGAACAAAAGTGACTTAAAGTGTGGAGTGATTTCCAGAAAAAAATTGAAGATTTAAATATATTTTCCATTGTGATACTCTTAAAGTCTACTGCAGAACACACTGTGAAGATACGTCATTTGGAGCCTGGCAGATAAAAGCTGATAAAAAAAAACTCTCCAGAGTGCTTTATTTTCTGACCAAAATGGCTGCAATAAATAAATGTAATGTATCACATAACGTTAACACTAATCCACCTTTGTATGGTGAAGTAGAACATTTTCTTCCAACTTCCCTACAGCAGGCATTTCAAAGAAGAAGAAAGAAAAGAGCCTGCAGATGGAAGAAGCATTTAGATAGAGACTAAAGATCATTTGTCTTTCCTTGTTTCTTTGTATCATAAAGCACTTTTTCAAACCCAACTTTCACTTGACAACGTATTTGTCTAAAGAATGTGAATCAGAATAAGGAAGAATACATTTTAGGTAAATTGATGCTTTTCTAAATTTAACCATAGCTTTCATTATTCTTCCATCTTCACCTGATACCCATTTGTGGGCCATTTTTATATGACTTTTGTCTCCCCTGGGTGGGCCTGTTCAACAACATAAAAAGGCTGACCTAACATTTTTTTAAAGAGAGAAAAAATAAAAAAATAAAAAGAGAATGACATGCTAAACATCAGGCAATTTATGGCACGCATGTTTAACAGAAATGACAACTAATGCATGGATAAAAAAAGGTGAATTTAGCCAAAAAAGCATTTTTTAAACAGTTTAAATTAATTAAAATTTTGTATTTTTCTGATTTTTTTCAGTGAACTAAAAACATTTTGTGTCTTTTTTAAAGCTTTTTTTTTGCTTTGTAGGTATTACGTATTTTTACCTTTTAGATTCAGCAATTATTCATATATCGTTAGAATAAGTTTTGAAGAGTTTTTTTAAAATGTTTTGCATTCTCATGAAAAAAGTTGAGCTCTTGGAAAATGTTCACATTCTCTGCCTGACTCTTTTTGTAGACGAGGCGTTCTGCATCTCCATGAAAGTAGGGGAATCCAGGATCTAGGCACACCACGCTGGGAGCTAACCTTGTGTTTGGTTGTGGTGGTCTTCATCCTTTATTTCAGTCTGTGGAAAGGTGTCAAGTCATCAGGGAAGGTATGGGTCCAAACAACAACTGCAAYTAATTTTAGCCTTCAATGTTTTTATTATGCTATTTATATTTGGTACATTTTTATACAGAATAACTCTGTGTTAAAGCAAGAAAAAATAAGTGTGATGGATTTTAGTCTGTTTCTTCTGTGTATGTTCTCAGGTTGTGTACATCACAGCCACTATGCCCTACATCGTCCTGTTTGTGTTGCTCATCAGAGGCATTACTCTACCAGGATCAATGAACGGCATCAGGGCCTACCTCAACATTGACTTCAACAGACTCAACAATCTAGAGGTTAGAGTCACKTTGTGAGAACAGCCCAGCATTTGAGCTTTTAGGTTTATGTTAGATCTATTTCATTGAAGATTTTGTTTTTGTAATTATGGGTCTTTCAAGGCTGTTTATACAGTATGTCCTGAATGCTGTAAWTATTATTTCTGCCTGCAATTATGTCTCTATTGTGCATTTTTCTGCTTAATTTAATGTAAAAGARAAAGTTCCAATGACTTTTCCAATTTTTTTAATCCTTAGGTGTGGATTGATGCAGCCACTCAAATATTTTACTCTTTGGGAGCAGGATTTGGTGTACTCATTGCATTTTCCAGCTATAACAAGTTTAACAACAACTGCTACAGGTGAGAGGTTTAAAATGGATTGCAGATAATCCAAACAAACCCACAGCAAGGCCCTGCTTTTTCTTTAGGAGCCTGTCTTTTTATATAATGCAACTGGAAATAACACAGCAGAGATGATGCTAATCTGTCCAACCTACCTCTCTGTCTGGGTGCATGAGGACAGATAAAGTACAGGCCAGGAAAGGTTGCCTGGTAATAGCCAAAGGCAAAATGTTTCCCTAATCCCCCCTCCACCACCCCTATATTATTATGTTGGGATGGGGTTGTTGAAGACGGGTGTTTTTGTGTAAACAACAGAAACATAAAATCCAAGAGCTTGAAAAAAAGTGTTTTAATTTTTTTAGTAAAATGATTTCACCCCTATAATGCAATAAAAAAAAATACAATATGAAACAAAATCGWTATTATCAAGTAAATAACTTCTCAATGTGTGTCAAAGAATGCAGAGTGTCATTATGGTGCCGCTGAAGATTAACTGATGGTATGATGGTGTGGTATTGGTTTTATGGATCCACTCCCACTTGTCTGATCTCGTTTCCTTCCCCCATATCAACCCCAAAATGGGCCTCTTCTTCTTTTAAGTTCCCTTTAACATTATGCATGGACTGATGGCACATGGGATTTTAATTACGCTCTTAATGCAAATGAGCAAATTTGAACTGGGTGAAAGGCAACAACAGAGGGAAGTAAACCAAAAATCAAGTGCAACAACAGGCTTGTGTTTAAATACTGACAATGAACATCTACTTTTTTTGTTTTTTGTTCAGGGATGCTCTCTTGACCAGCACTGTGAACTGCGTCACCAGTTTCGTCTCAGGGTTTGCCATCTTCTCTGTGCTGGGATATATGGCAGAAAAACATCAAGTGAAAGTAGAAGATGTAGCAACAGAAGGTAATTTGTCCTCTTGCACAATAAATAAAAAAATAAAATATACAAAAAAATATAATAATAAAACAGGAACAGTATTGCATGTCTGTGTATTTCTGTCATTGGATTAGTTTGCTGTTTCAATACGCATCTGTTAAATTGTTTACTGTATATTCAGGGGCAGGTTTGGTGTTTATCATCTACCCAGAGGCAATTTCAACACTCCCCGGATCAACATTTTGGGCTATTGTGTTCTTCATCATGTTGCTAACGTTGGGCATTGACAGCTCGGTGAGTAAGATCAACCACTAACAAAGAAGTTAAACTGTCCAAACCGACAGCACAGGCAAGAAAAGCATTAATAAAATAAGGTAACCTTCARWAAAATCCAACATATTTTATTACATCAATGGCACAAAAATAGTGAGGAATTGTGGTGACAGTGTTTTGTTAGACTCTCTTCACAATGAATGAAGACCCTGCTATGCTCTTTATTACCCACATGAAGGATTAAACCATAACTGGACTGGGGCAGATTTGTAAAACCTCCTATGAAGACCGTCATGGTAGACTCTAGATTTTCCTCATGCTACTTCTGCATCCTCAAAATGCTCTTATCACAAAATTACTCAACACTGGCACAATGCTACGGAGTCAACACTAGGGTGTTTTTTTATGATCATGTCAAGATCTGCACAAATTTCCTGTATACACAGTTTATGGGGGGTTTTGGTGACTCCACCACCAGTTTCAGCCTTGCTGTGGAAGAGGAAACATCATCACCATTTTCATACCTAACAAGGCCATCACTCCAATGTACAGTACTTCTTTATGAGAAAATACCGGAGAAATGTTTTTTTTTTTTGCAGAACCTCGACCGTAACTTCCCTTCTCCCTTCATCATCTAGCAGCCCTAACCGTGAGGATCAAAAAGACAGACAGTTGAACATAGGGTAGTGTCTAATGGCGCTTGGAGAGTGTGGTTTGATTGTTGCAGCAATATAGTGCAGCCCACATAGCAGCTGTGCCACCAAAACTGTTGCAGTAGCTTTACTGGAGCACTGCCAGTGTGGTGTTAGCATGAAAGGGTTCAAGCTTTGGTATGAGACAAATCTTGCTTCATTTTCTTGACAACTAAACCACATCTGGTGCATGCAGGCCTCCAAACTCTAGAGAACTTATCTGTCAAAATGTTGAGCCCACTTCATTTTTGATGCTTCCCTTAAAACCTCAATAATACCCTGCAAACACCAGCTACGTTCTGATTTCTATTCCACAAGAGAGTCTTCATTCAGTGTGAAGGAGGAATATTGAAAATCAAATTTCACCTTTTAATATAAAAACAGATTAGACTACCTTTAATTCATGGAAACATGGTGCCACAGAAACATCAAACATTAGCTATATAGGTGCACAGATGACAGAAGTATAACCTGTTTGCTACAGTAGGCATTTTTAAATAAGTGGACTCCAAAAAATAATCACTTGTAATCGTACACCCAGTGATTACTTTCTGACCATTTCATTGAAATCTGTCAACTGGTTCATAACGTAATCCTAAAAGACAAAGAGTTAGAAAGGACAAACAAACCCATGCACACAAACAAAGGCAATTCCAATATTCCTTGTATTTCATAGTGGCAGGCTATAACAAATATTACACAAAACCACAAATGTTAAAAAACATCCATAATTCCTGAAATACAGCTATTTTAATGCAGTTTGTGCTGTTTACAATGATGTCTATACTGGCAAAACCTCTGTACTTACAATACAGTACATTAGAATTGAACACTTGCAATTTTAAGGAACATCTAATTGTTGTTTTTCATGTTGGTTTGTTTTCTTCAGATGGGTGGCATGGAGGCAGTCATCACAGGGCTGACAGATGATTTTAAGATTCTCAAAAGAAACAGAAAACTCTTCACCTTCGCCACAGCTTTTGGAACCTTCCTCGTTGCCCTGCTGTGCATTACTAATGTCAGTATCATCATTCAAAATGATGTTTGAACATTTGTCCATTCACTTCATTTTGTTATGTTACGGTTGGCAGGATCTGATTAGATAAGGCATTTCAGTGTCAGCAGAGCTGTAATGAATGGGATGTTTAAACTGTGCTTGACTCCAGTCGCACGATGTGCTGACGTCACTGAAAAAAAATGCTTCGACATTAACAGAATCCCCTGAGAGAGATCATCAAAGGAGCTATTGCATCACACTTTGATAGCAAACAAAAATTAAGTTAAAAGTCCATCCAGGAATTTAATAATTTGTTTACTCAAAGGTCCCTGTTCATTTACAAAGTAGGATATTCCAACAAGGAAAAAAAAAGGTTTACAGAGACAAACATTAGAAGCAGTGARATTTATAAAGTAATTGGATGATTCTTTTTGGATGCAATTAAACTGAAAAAAGACACAATTCTCACAGCTTTAGAGACCAACACTGCTGTTTTTTAGATAGTCCTAATAGTTAAACATAAAAGTGCAATACAAGCATCATGCAGTCATTTAGTGCTTTTTCAATGCTCTCCTTATCTTAAAGATTAAAGATTTAWACATCCTCAGACAAACATATTTCCCTTTGCTTTCCTCCTCTGTAGGGTGGGATCTATGTTCTGACCTTGTTAGATAAGTATGCAGCTGGGACTTCTATACTTTTTGGTGTGTTAATTGAAGCCATCGGAGTGTCATGGTTTTATGGTAAGAATTTCTAATTCTATCATTATAAGTAGTATAATTTACCTCAAGAAAATGAAGATTTTATTGAAGTAAATAAATAATAAAAACGACTACACACTGTTGTGTTGTCTGACTGTAGTCTGTAGTCTAACTATTCTTGTTAAAGAAAATGCCCTACAGCAGTTGAAAGAAAAAAAGTAAATATAAATTACAGTATAACAATCATGTTGCGATAACTGAGCTAATATATCAAATAAGAGAAGAAGCAGTGTAGAAAATGATCACAAATGATCCAAAACTCTCAAATGCATGTGAAAACCACATGAATTGTTCTCCAGGCTTTGGTCCAGAGAAACATGATACTTAGAAGAAAGAAGTTGCTTTAGCCTTTGGCAGTGGAATACTGATCATGTTACTTCACTCGCCTCTGTAAGCATTTCRCTTTTCATGCTCTCTGCAGGTGTGGATCGCTTCAGTGAAGACATTCAGCGGATGATGGGCTTCAAGCCAGGACTTTACTGGAGGCTGTGCTGGAAATTTGTCAGCCCAGCTTTTCTCCTGGTAAGGAAGCAACACATCTGGAATTCCCTAGAAAGCAAAAATAAAAATAAAATAAAAATAAAATAATAATAATGAAAAAAATCTGAATCCAAAACCTAAACTGAGCAAATGAGACTCTTTGATTTGATCCCATCTGCCTTGTTTGTAACATTTGGTATGTACTGTATATTTGATGTTTATATTCAGTTCATAAGTTCTCATGAACTGAAGAGTATTAGCATAAAATTGCAGTCTAGATAAAACACTTATTCACCAAAGAAATTCACATTTAATCATCAGCTGTCAGATTTGTGTCAAGGACCCTGAAGGATGGTGGGAGAGAGAGAAACAGTTTGAGCCACAATGCAGCTCCTGGTGAGCTCGTTGGTGGCAGGTAAACTTAGAAATATAAATATAGCTGTGTGGCTAAGTGTGCATTTCATGAAGCTAATGACTGTATCTACAATCATTCAGGCTTGGGCGTAGACAGTTATGAGCTTCCTTAAATGCAAATGGATGTCTGTTCCTTGCCCTGAGCAACAGAGGAAATTTACAGGATTAAGAATAATAATGTGTCATTGTGTACATAGAAAAAAAATGGCATGAAGTCAGTTTAGTTGCCTTGTTTCATTACTGATTTCATCACATTGTTTGAGCTCTGACGTAAAGTTAATGAGTGACTGAGTCAGGATTACACTCTTATTCTTAATTTGATGATTGTTTGTCTTTTTTTATTTTTTACTACTCCTAAAGTCATGAAAACTAATTTAAAAAGTAATATTTTATCTTAACAAAAGTGCTTAAACTTATAAAATTAGTCCATGCATTAGGCACAATATAAAACAGTAGCAAAGTAAAACATCTGATATATGCTCATTTTGTGATTTAGTGCGGTTGAAAATGACACAMTAAGTTTCTAAAGGTGCTCTTACTTCAGTGATCCATTGATTTTAAAATGTGAAAAGAAATGTTGAAAATAATATGTTTTATTTATATGTGTAGCTCACTTATTGAGACAACCAGTGTTGAATAAATACACAAACACAGGAAATGCGTGAATGAAAAGTGTGCAATACAAAATACTGTTTGACATAGTTTATGCCTCATTCTAGACCAGAGTCTATCACTTGTACGCACTTGTATCTATTTGTTTGTTTACATGACTGTGTAGGGGTTTTAGGTATATTCTAAAATGGATAATTTGTGAATTAGTTAAATACGCAAATTATCTTATCTATTAACAGTAAGGTGTCAGGAAGTCTGGTGGGGGTTTGTGTAAGAGATGTTAATTCGAGCCACAAAGGAAGTTCCATGCAAAATCCTTAAATACAGCATGAAGTAAAAAGTGGGGTTTTTCTTCTGTCCTAAGCTGTTGTTTTAGGAACAAGTGAAATCTAATCAGAAATGATTATTTATATGCAGGAAAATGCTACAACTGAACAGTATAAGGGCTGACATCAGCACACATTAATAATAATGTAGCAAAGAAGATATGCAGACATGTATTACATGTATGACAATCCAGACATACTAAAGATAGGAAAGCGCAGGGTTATTTAAAAAATATATTTAAAATAAATTTAGCTCCGTGACAAGTAGATTGCTGCCTTGAGTCCAAACTTTAAAGATATATTTTCAATGCATTATTATGAATCACAGCTGTGAAAAACCACTCCAGCTTTTTAGTCTACAAATTTAACCAAACTGAAAATAAATAAATAAATAAATAAATAAATAATAAAAATGAAATTTAGGATTATGTTATGCTTGTCTTGTGTTTGTCCCATTAACTAATTGAAGTTCTTCTCAAAAATTGCTCACTTAGGTKTGCAAAATATGGATTTATTTATTTATTTTTAAACATCCAGGTTGTGATCTGTTAGAACAACTAGTCCATACATCTAACAAGATTGAATCAGTTCCTCTAAACGGGCTCTTTTTTGTTGAATCTCTGCGTCTCTTCTCTAAAAGACAAAGTCATTTTGAAGAACTGCACATAAACTCAGCCTTGTAAGCAGTACCTTGGCATAGTGGATCAACCAGTTTACTGGTGACACCCGAAAACCAGTAAACTGGTTGAACTGGCTGACTCAAACTTGTTAAGATTTTTTTTAACTGGATTATTGAGCTGCATCACAATTATATAATTTATTTATTTATTTAGGTGACTTACCAAAACAAAACAAGGTGTTTTGCACAGCACTTGGACCATTTTGTGATTCAGACTAAAGCTCCAGAATCCATCAAAAAAAAAAAAATAAAATAAAATAAAAGCAAGCTCACAGGACCCTGTTTAATTATTCAGGTGCATGCCGGAGTAGATAATATTTACAATATAAGGGAAAGTATTCAAGACTTTGTGATGTAACATATTAAAATGAATACAGAGTGTAAAAAGGCAATTATTTTTTAATGTTTTTGTTTTTGGTCATTTAATCCAGAAGAAGAGGGGCGAACCTAATTCATATCTAAAGTACATCAAGACTAGAATGAAATGTTCTCATGGAAAAATATATTATTTTTGCTATTTTTAAACGATTCAGGATAATTTGTGATAATATCAAACAAAATTAGTTGAAATRCATGACCTTAGTGTGGGTTTTATTTCAATAACACTATGTTGAACAAATAAAATATCCACATTTGTGAGTGCACAGCTCGTATGCCAGTGTAAAATCTCTATTTGAAGAGTTTCTTAGCTGTATTGTTTCACAAAAAAAAGTCTAGGGAACCACAGCCACCCTGCATGGACATGCAAAATATTATGAAGGCCTAATAAAGAGAGGACCTGTTAAAAGGGGATTAAACAATAGTATTTCAATGTTTTGCATTTCTTAAAGACCTATTCAGATTGTATATTTTAATGTAATTCAAAGCTGATGGCATTATTGGCATTAGAGTTTTGTGATGAATTGCATCAGCTAGTGCGGGGCTCTAACGCAAGCTTATTTTTACTCTCACTGCCTGCTCGTTTTATTGTTTTGCTGAATGTAGAATGAAGATGATAGCGATCACAAACATCAGTATTCAACCCATTCTCACTCCCAAGTCGTCACATATTGACGCTTTTCCATGGTTCCCTCTATGTCCGATTTTGACGCGCAGGGTACCCCCGTCACGTCAGTTACTGACGAGATGGGGCGGAATCTGTTGTCATATTTTCAGAAAGTGTAGAAAATGCGCGAAAACGACCGTTCCAAAGSCTGARATTGCCTTTGTTCACTTTAGACATCCTGTCCCTGACCGTAGTASCTAAAATTAGCCATTTTTAGAAAATTTACGAAATTCACGTAAACATGTTCTAAAGCGTAAAATGACCTAATATTCACCATGGACATCCTACCCCTGATCCCAGTACCTAAACTTAACCATTAATCCTGATCCCTCATGTTAACCTCAGACCCCCGACCCAAAGACCCCTGGTGGCGCAACCCGGAAAAGCCGCGGGCGTCAAGGACTGACGCGAGGGGGACACCTGCTGCGTCAAAATAAGACGCAGAGGGAACCTTTGGAAAAGCGTCAATATGTGACGACTTGGGAGTGAGAATGTGTAGCAGTATTTGATGATGAATTGCAATGCAAACAATAGAAGTGCCCAAATCATTTGGATAGAAGGGTGTACAAATAGCACTGTTCCCTCTGTCTAAATCAATTGGATAGTTTGCACTGATACAGTACATTACTAAACWTTTTAGTGGTTTTAATGAAAATGAGAATAGTCTTTTGTAGTTTTACAGATTGTATATTACAATATCTGATTTTCTATATCATTAGATTTACCAATACAAGTACAACCCACAAAAAATGTTCCTTTTCTGTTTCTTTTTGTGTCCTTTCACAGTTTGTAGTGATAGCCAGTACTTTGACATCATCTGGCCTGAAGTACGATGACTACGTCTTCCCCTCTTGGTCCAACCATCTGGGTTGGGTGGTGGCCATGTCCTCCATGCTGTTTGTTCCCTTTTATGCCTTGTATAAATTCTGCACCGTACCAGGAACTTTCAAAGAGGTTTGTGAAAAAGTACATTATTTAATGAAATACAAATATTTTAAAAGATACACCATATGAACAGGCACATCTTAAATCAAGCTTTAAAACTAAATCATCGGTGATAATCAGAGGTCACAGTTAAAATGAAGAAAAAAAAAACTGTTCTTAAGGGAGTTTCTGATTGGAATCATCAAACTAGAACAGTTATTTTTATCCCTCAGCAGCCCCAGTGTCATCCTAACTCTGTCACCATAATTCCCACATCTCACTGGTATTTCCCGTTGATAGTTCTGGATTGTACGCCCCCCAAGAAAAAAAAAATCCTCTGAAACTATTCCACTAAATTTGCATCTCCTCTCACATATTGGATTGCATCTTCCACTGTGCATCTCCTTTCTCATCTTGAAATGATTTATCTCCTATAGTCCTGAAAATACATGAGAAATTACTGTGAATGGCAAACCTCGAAATGTCATATATTAAAATAAAGTTAGGAAATTCAAAATCCAGAAACATTAAACGTGGGTTAATGATACAAAGGAAGATGTGTATGATTTGTGTATGTGTGTGTGTGTGTGTGTGTGTGTGTGTGTGTGTTTCACAGAAAATAGCTTATTGCATCACTCCAGAACATGAACAACACATGGTGGCTGAAGGAAATGTACGCCAGTTTAAAGTAAGTGCAACTTTTTTTTACGGTTTTATCAGTGTTTTATCTTGGAAGTGATGTTAATGAGACTTTTAAAAATTAGAACACAAAAACAGATGGAGCTATAATATTAATAGCAATAGTTTGTGTACTTGTACTGAACAGTCACAGTATGGATGTCAGGATCCAGTGATTTAAGTAAGATGGATGTCACAATGATTACCAGAATAATATTTAAATTCACTTTGGGTGTGTTATTTATTCTCCTATTGTCTTTCATTTTGGACCAAGCCAAAGCTAAAATAAGTCAAACTGCACCAATTTTAGCAAAAAAGAGGCACATTATGAAGTATGTCATACTTTTGCTTTACACATGGGCAATAAAAAACTGCTTATTGTTGAAATTGGATGAATACAATACAATTTAACTTTTACCCCATACCTATCCTGTATATTTTTGCTGCACCAAAATTGTACTCAATCTGTGACCCTACACTTAGGAAATGTACCAAACTGTACTGTAGGTACACCCTGATTTCTTAGTGATATGCTTTTTAGAATCAGGGTAATAAACAAGAAGGTAAAACAGACTGCATGATGACGTTAGGTCACAAATAAAGCTTTGTTTTGCTTTGTTTTCCAGCTCAGACATTGGTTAGCCATTTGATCACAAATACCCAGAACTCTGTCATCCATCATCTGGATTTCCGGTGTGCCACCAGTGGGTCTGCCAGACACGGAGAGCAACAGGCTTTGACCTCTTCTTTTCACTGTGCATTTATGATACAATGTCTTCAGTGGCTCCAAGCACTTTTATTTCACTCATGAAACAAATCTACAGCAACAATTCAAAAGGGAAAGATACTCAAAGGTAGAATTAACAATGAATTTTTTTCCAACTTGGCAATGCTGTTTTATTTGGTTACTTTTTACGTATTATTTATCTCATTCTTGGTTTGGTCACAGTTTTGGAAATGATTTCACCTTTTGGAAGGAATACACAATAGAATTAGAAATTATTGTTCTTATGTATTGCTTAAAAAAGAATATCTAAATAAAGCATATAAAGTATTTTTTTCCCCACAGGAAGGAAATGTGTTCTTTCCATCCTGTTAGCACAGTGGCTTATTTCTGTCAGTGCCTTATCATACGAAACATTTGTTTGTTTTTATTTTCTACAGTCCAAAACAAAATAAGATAAAACTGTGTTAACTCAGGAAGACACAAAAAMTCCAAACGGTTTGTGAATAGCAAGCTCTTGGCTTTGACTTATCTTTTTTGACATTCACATCAAAGCGTTGAAGCACGTCAACTTCAAGTTATTCAGCAAATCCTCACATTGTTTTACAGAAAAGGGAAAGTAGATCTTATGCACCAGACCAAAGATTTTAAAGAACTGCTGCAGGTTTCATCAACTTTTGTGCTTTGGAAAGCAGTATTTACTACCAAGCATTAGTCTAAAGCAAAGACTAAAGATATAATTTGATCAGCTCTTGGTTGATCATTTAGGGTGCAAGATGACATGTCATCAAAACAGTGTTACTACTACAGTTTTTGTATTAAAAAAAAGCCTTTTCTTGCCTTTTAATTATTTGTGTTTGGTCTTAAAGAACATACTGTATGTTTTCTTTTCTTTTCTTTTTCAAATATGAGATGATGAGTAAAGCTAAGAGAAAAAGAGTGGTTTTATGAGTGTGTATACATGTGAACTGATTTTTTTTTTTTTGCCAACATACAGTTTGCTGTTGGAAAACAGCATGCAGTAAATTATTGTTATTAATTTACTGTCCTGTGCATTATTATTTGATCTGCATAGCAGCAGATTGTATATTTTTTTGTTTGACCTTTAGATGGATTTGTAGTAACGTTCATCACAGCTGAAGTGCCAACACATTTTTTAGAAGTGAAAGTTAGTGACTTTTGTTTTTCCATTGCTTTTTTATTTATTTTTTTAAATAAAACTGGATTATAACAGAGCTCCATTACTGAAAAGGAATAAAGCCAAAAAGAAGAAGAAGGGAAAAAAAAGAAAGAAAATAAGAAATATATATGTGGAATATAAGATAAAACACAATATATAAATATATTCTTTTGTTATATCTAATCTTGTATTTATCAAATTGTTTATAGCAAATTGTGAATGTAAAGTATTTTAATTGTATCTGTCCATAGTCACAACATGGTGTTTGATGTATACCTGAGATGAACTATTTAGACAAAAAATATATATTCTCCAGTGTAACTCTGGGCAACTCTGTCACTTATGAATGTGAACAAAGACATCCTGGCTCTCGTAGACCATGTTTACAGAAATGCTGTGTACCATACCACTGTCCAGTTGAACGTGACTGTCAATAAAGAAGTCTGAAGTATTCACTACATAGAAATAAAGAATTTCTTCTATACAGACTTGAACATGTGTGGTTTGTGAGTTGACAATAAACTTGTCACACTGAAAAGAAACTATCATACGTATGTCTTTCATGCTGAAGTTTAGCAGTTTTTGTAAAACCTTAAGAAAAAAGTAGTATTGTAAGATGCCACCCTCAGAATATGTGTTGTTAATAAAGCTATTATCAAAGCCAATTTTAGCACAGTATCTGAAAAAAATAGCTAAGATCAAGCCAATTTTGGGTTGGCTGATGTCGATTAGCTGTGGGGGGGCATCTTGAATTTAATAACTCTAAAAGCTAATGAGCTGTAGATTAATTGGACAAATCTAATAATTACTTTCTGAATGTTTCATTAAAATGTGTCCAGTGGATGTATTTAGGCCATTTTTTTTACTCACAGACACAGATAAAAACACTGTCATTTGTTTTTGCCTTTTGGAAGAAAGCTATAAATAAAGTTACACCTTACAACTAAAACGTCTCCAGCTCATTCAAAAAATGGCTTCAGAATTTTACCAAACTTGCTTTGTGTAAAATAAAAAGTGTAAAATATAAAGTTGTTTGTTGGGTYAACTTGGATTTAAAATGTCAACAGTTTAAAATAGTTTTGTTCATTTCTGTACACATATTAAAGGTGGGGGGGTATATTGTGTTTTTTCTCAGGCACATAAGTACAGTAGTTAAATTCTATACCACAATTAAGTAACTACAGTATGTTACCTTCAATTATGAAAAAAGCTGTGTATATCAAAAATAAATTTGACTTTGCATCATAGCCTATCTAAACACCTTGAAATTGGCCTCCGTCTCTTTAAGAACTTCCTACCATTTCTGACACTCCCACTTGCTTTGTAGCAGCAAKAATTTAGGCAACTCTAAATGGCTACCACAGGAGATTCAAAGATTTCTCAAACATGCATGAATGTGCCAAAGCAACACCCTCTGTATGTTTTTGATTTGGGAATGACATCATAACAYGATATAAAGCTCAAAAAAGTCGATTTTTGCAAAACAACCCCCCACCCCCCCAGCTTTTTTTTTTTTTTTTACATACAGACAATCTTGCCTATCTCCCTTTGATTTTGAATATTGTTTTGAAAATGTTGTTTTTCAACATTCATTTCACTTCTTTCTTTTAGGGTTAATTTCAAAGGCCCCCCGAAGAGAGCAACTTGGCCCCACATTGCCCCTGTTATGTGTTGCATTGTCACTGATTTTTGCTGATCTAAAAGCTTGTAGAATGACCTACCGGRTGCCTTCAATTGTTTTCTAATGTTCTGTCTCTCTGCACTTTGCTTTTGACTTCATCTGTTTTCATTTATTTGCCTAGACCGTGCTAAAGAAATGTCTCAACTGATAGTGATAAGCACGCATGTGGACTCATTGTTGGAGTCAGCAAATTTCAATCTTGGATGCTGAGCAATAGGGTCTGTTTTTGCACTTTTTAGGAMTTTGATGAACACAAATRYCATCTTTCATTTGCRAAATTAGTTTTTAAACTGAGATTTACATTGRTTTATCTAGGTTACACAATATGGATGTGTTTGGGAATATCCGAAAAGGAAGGCTGTAAATAGTCTAAATAAAGGAAATTGTTTTCCTTTACTTTTGAGAAGGTCATTACTTATGAAGCACCACAAGAGAAAAAAGAATCAAACAAAATTATTTTCATCAACTAAATAGCAGATATAAACATTACATTATTCATGGATGTTTATCTAACAATCATCACATTTAATCCATGCTAAGATGTTGACATCATATTAAGTCAGAAATCCACTGAAGTTCTGAGAATCCTATCTTGTGTTGAATTCTGAGTTTGACACTTCATAAATTCATGCATGTCTTTGCATGGAATGCAGGAAGCAGGCCCTACTGTTTCATGGAACACTTGTTACCTTGAATTAAAATAAAAAAGAAAGAAAGAAGAGGTCATGTAATTTTCAAAGTTATCATATTTTTTGAGTCTATTMTATTTGAACTATTTCCACAATCTTAATGGAAATTCACATTTGTAGGATTTACCAAAAAATAAACAGGAAATAAATCTTCTGACTCTGCCCATGGGATTTGTGCCTGTCTCTGAAGATCCCTGGTTACTATGTAATGCCAATAAATGCTCTTTGTGTGAAGTGTGACTTCTTGAGAAGTGAGGTCACAATAGTTTAACTAATAAACAAAAATAAAACAACCAAGACAGCTAACCAATATAGCTTAAACATTTGATATATGTTCTATTTCGAATAAAATACTGGTATTCTTTTTTTTATATTTACACTCTAAATAATATTCCAACTTTGTTAGCACTGATGATTGACAAGTTACAGTTGTACTATCAAAATATAGTGTAAGAACTAACTGACCATCATGTTTCACAGCATTTGTATCTGTAGGACTGTGCACTGAAAATCACAGAGTCAGACATACAATTTGCAAAAACTTTGTCTAAAGGATATAATAACATCACATATCTAAGACAAAACTCATTATAAAAAAATGCTTATAATATCAATTGTCAGAGGCCACAGTAAAAATATTATATACCTTACATTTCAACACCTATTTAAATATGACTGGTACTCATTATGAATGGAGTTGTCTAAGCACTCTAGAAAATGAAGTGTTGAATTTACTTAACCAAGTTATGTCAACTGGTTCCACAAAACCATGTTGAGAAAATGTAAAGCAATTTACGCATTTTTTAACTAGATATAACTTGTCTTTACATCATGTACATAGCATACACAGAGCTGGGGAATCATTTTATGAACAAGTTGCTGGTCACTGTCCTCATATAACTTTAGAAAATTCAAAAGAGTACAAAGTTAGATGGCGTGCAATGTCTATCTATGAAGACAAAGCAGAACAAGGCAGGGCAAATGCTAATGTCCTGGCATGAGAGAGAAAATAACGTGTGTTTGTTTTATGCCTAACCCTGGGTTAAAGTCTCTACCTCTCCGGATATGGGCCATCCCTTTCTCACAGTTCATCAC